TCCCACCTTCGCTCACTCTGACCGCAGGCAGCTGAGCTGTAACTGGCTGGGTCAGGACTTGCTGGGCCTTGAAGGATGATGAAGGCAGAGGATCGGGTGTTGTTTCAGGAGGAGTGCTTCGCTTTGGCTTTTATTTATGGAGCTCTTCCTGTGACCCTGGCTGGACCAGAAGTTAGTAACTTATCTCTGTAATCCTCTTTTAAAAAATATCGCTCTCTCTCTCTCTCTCTCTCTCTCTCTCTCTCTCTCTCTATTTCAGAAAGGAAGGGAGAGGGAGAGAGAGCTAGAAACATCAGTGAGAATCATTGATTGGCTGCCTCCTGCAGGCCCCACACGGGATGAGCCCGAAACCCAGGCATATGCCCTGGCCGGGAATCGAACTGTGACCTCTCGGTTATAGGTTAATGCTCAGCCACTGAGCCACGCCATCCAGGCTCTCAGCAGTCCTCTTAATGAGCCTGTTTTGGTTCCATTGTATAGGTCAGGAAACTGAGGCCCAGCAAGGTCAAGGCTAAGGCCGTGCAGCTGGTAAATTGCTGAGCTGGGGTTGGAGCCCACACGTGCCCAGCTGCAAGGCCGAGAGGTCTTTCCAGGTCTTCTTGTTACAACACAGCTACTTCCCCCTCCCTAGTCTCCCCCACACACATCCTATTCAAAGCATGTTTTGTTTTAACCCCTTTGTGTGATACAAGGACATACTGGGAGTAACGGAGAGGCACGAAGTACCTTTTGGCCAGGATAGAGAACGGGTGCAACTAGAACATCTGCTCTGTGAGGGCAAATGGGGGTGTCATCCTTTTGGTTCACTACTGGAAGCCCAGTGCCCTTAGACCAGAGTCTGACACCCAGTAGACCCACAGGAAGCATTTGTAAAATAGATGAATGAGGTTCACAAGTTACTGGCCGTGGCCAGATTCTAAATGTCCTTCCTTGGATGTTGTGGTTAGATATTGATGTGCCAGCGTCTGAAGACATTCAGGCTCCCCACCGGTGGAGGGTCCGGAGTGTAATCAGTGCCTGCCTGACGTGTGGCAGCATCGTGATGACCAACCAAGGTCTTCTCACCCAGTCCCACGCCCCCTCATACTCGCACCCCACCCGTGGAGATGGCTGTGTCCCAGCTCTGCCCCTACAGCCGGATGTCACCCCTGCGGCTCCTCTTTTAGACTTAAGAACGGTGGTTGTCCTCTCCAACAGGGCAGTTTCCGCAGACTTTGTTACAATGATTTCTCCATTTTTTTAATTTTCTTTTTTTTTTTTTTTTTGAATCAAACTTGGGACCCTTGAGTCCACAGGCCAACGCTCTATCCACTGAGCCAAACCAGTCAGGGCCATTTTTTTAATTTTCGTTTTGGGAACTAGCAGTTGAGGCTTCAGATAAGTGGACCTCCAGAGATGGGAGGGTGGACATCACTGTTACGAAAGGATCATTCTGAAGGCTCAGACAAGTCCCGAGTGAGCCCTAGGTGTTCTCAGAAATCCTAGTGAGGAGAACGACAGATACTCGGGTCAGCTGCTGTCCACTCCTGTGAATGCCTCGCTCACTGCCATTGCGGTCTGATCAGGTGGGTTTTGCTCACTGAGTCCTTCTTTACCTCAGGGGTTCCAGCTGCCGAAGCCACCGGAGCCCCCTTCTGTTGAGGTGGAGTACTACACCATTGCCGAATTCCAGTCCTGCATTTCTGACGGGATCAGCTTTCGGGGTGGACAGAAGGCAGAGGTGAGCCTTGGGCCCGGAGGCTGAGGCTGGTCGGAGACCTGCCACGTTGCCCTTCTCTGTCTTTCTGGCAAGCAGGGACGGTGCGGAAACAAGGTCCATCAAGCTAGTAAGTGCCACAGTCAGGACTAGAACTCAGGACTCGTGTCTCCGCCCAGTGCAGTGAAATGACCACAGGCAGTGGGACAGCTGGGCTGTGCTCTGCAGGGAGGCTCTGGCCTCAGGCCATATCCCAGTTCAACTCACCTGCATCTTCCCATTCTCTTCCGACCTGAGGAGCCCTTTCCAGGGTCACGCAGGGAAGACCTAGCAATATCGGAGGTGGGAGGAGGATGGGAGTGGTGGAATGGTAGTTCTTTTTATACATATGGGTCCTTGGCGATTTGGTTTTGTTGGGACTGGGTACAGTGCCTCTTCTAAGTGCAGTAACTTAGGGGAAGAAGGAACAGGAGTCTGAGAGGGGGCCAGCCCGACCAGCGTGTTGAGAGGCTCGGAGGGCCAGGGGAGAGCGACCTGAACAGCAGGATCCCCCCAGCTAGGAGATGATAGAGATCTGGGTTTGAATTCCCACCCATCACTCACTACATTGGGCCCTGGGCCACTTACTCGGTGGCTCAGGTGGCTCACCTGTAAATGGAGATAATGTCTCCTAGAGCCACAGTATGAATGAAGCTCCTAGCTAGCTCCTCACAGGGTCCCAGTGATCCTCCCAACTCACTGGCCTGCCCGCCCCTTCCCCCTAGGTCCGTGGTCGGCAAACTGCGGCTCTTGAGCCACATGCGGCTCTTTGGCCTCTTGAGTGTGGCTCTTCCTAAGCCTTAGGAGTACCCTAATTAAGCTAATAACAATGTACCTACCTATATAGTTTAAGTTTAAAAAATTTGGCTCTCAAAAGAAATTTCAATCGTCGTACTGTTGATATTTGGCTCTGTTGACTAATGAGTTTGCCGACCACTGCCCTAGGTCATCGACAAAAACTCTGGCGGCTGGTGGTACGTGCAGATCGGCGAGAAGGAGGGCTGGGCCCCCGCGTCCTACATCGACAAGCGCAAGAAGCCCAACCTGAGCCGCCGCACGAGCACCCTGACCCGGCCCAAGGTCCCCCCACCGGCGCCCCCCAGCAAGCCCAAGGAGGCTGAGGAGGGTCCGGCAGGCACCGCCGAGAGCCAGGACTCCCCGCTGAAGCTCAAGTACGAAGAGCCCGAGTATGACATCCCTGCCTTTGGCTTCGACTCGGAGCCAGAGCTGAGTGAGGAGCCCGCGGAGGACAGAGGCTCGGGGGACAAGCGGCTGGCCCAGCCCCCCAGGCCCTCGCCGGCCTCCTCCCTGCAGCGGGCCCGCTTCAAGGTGGGCGGGTCCTCAGAGGACGTGGCCCTGGAGGAGGAGACCATCTATGAGAACGAGGGCTTCCGGCCCTGTGCAGAGGACACCCTGTCAGCCAGACGGTCCTCCCGCGACAGTGACTCCCCAGGAGGCTCCCCACTGTCCCTTGCCAGGAAAAACTCCCCCAAATCAGACTCCCCCAAATCGTCCTCGCTCCTAAAGCTCAAGGCAGAGAAAAACGCCCAGGCGGAACTGGGGAAGAACCACTCCTCGGCCTCCTTTTCCTCGTCCATCACCATCAACACCACCTGCTCCTCCTCCTCCTCCTCCAAGTCCCAGTTCATCCACAACAACCTCAAAGATGTGTATGTGTCCATCGCGGACTACGAGGGGGACGAGGAGACGGCGGGCTTCCAGGAGGGTGTGTCCATGGAGGTCCTGGAGAGGAACCCCAATGGCTGGTGGTACTGCCAGATCCTAGACGGGGTGAAGCCCTTCAAAGGCTGGGTGCCCTCCAACTACCTGGAGAAAAAGAACTAACGGGACACGAGTCCTTCCAGCCTGAGTGAATGAGTGGTGAGATAAGACAAAGCCCAGCAGCGACCTGAAGCCCCGTTCTGCCTCGGACGCAGGCATCCGCGGCACCCCCAAGGTCGGAGCGAAGAAGGACGCTGACCTGAAGGCCGGGCTGACCTGTGCTCGGGCCAAGCCATCTGTGCGGCCCAAGCCATTCCTGAGCAGAGCGGAGTCCCAGGGTCAAGAGAAGATGGACATCAGCACTTTACGGCGCCAGCTGAGGCCCACAGGCCAGCTCCGGGGAGGCCTCAAGGGCTCCAAGAGTGAGGACTCAGAGCTGCCCCCCCAGACAGCCTCCGAGGGTCCCAACGAGGGGTCCAGGAGAGGCTCGGCTGACCTCATCACCCTCCCGGCTGCCACGCCCCCATGTCCCACCAAGAAGGGGCGGGAAGGGCAGGCCACCTCCTACGTGACGTGTAGTGCCTACCAGAAGGTCCAGGACTCGGAGATCAGTTTCCCCGCAGGCGTGGAGGTGCAGGTGCTCGAGAAGTTGGAAAGCGGGTGGTGGTATGTGAGGTTTGGGGAGTTGGAGGGCTGGGCCCCTTCCCACTACTTGGTGCTGGGTGAGAATGAGCCACCTGACCCCTCTGGCAAAGAGCCGGACGCCGTTACCGCCAAGAGCAAGCAGAAGGAGGGCAAGTCGGACAGCCTGGAGAAGATCGAGAAGCGGGTCCAAGCGCTGAATACCGTCAACCAGAGCAAGAGGGCCACGCCGCCCATCCCTTCCAAGCCTCCCGGGGGCTTCAGCAAGAGCTCGGGGGCTGGGGTGGTGAAGATGAGGAATGGGGTTCGGCAGGTGGCAGTGAGGCCCCAGTCGGTGTTCGTGTCCCCCCCACCCAAGGACAACAACCTGTCCTGCGCCCTCCGGAGGAACGAGTCGCTCACAGCCACCGACGGCCTCCGAGGCGTCC